TATTAGTGTTGGCATAATTGTTAAATGAAGAGAATTTGCAGGTTTTAGTTAGTTTAATGTATATATGTTTTAGTGTTAGTAGTTGAATTTGCACTTGTCTTTGTAATATATTTGGGTATTACTGTTTTCATTAAATTTGCAGTTTTCATTTCTTTTTTTATTGGTATGTTATGCTCATTGAAATCTAAAGTACTGCCACAAGAACCAACATCATGTTATGCATATTCGAACACAAACAACATCATCAATAGATAACAAGGCATTGTTATATGTAGCCAACAAAGATACTTATCAACCAATTGTCATAATGTACTTCACCCTAATATAAGCCCAACAAAAGATTTTTGAGATGAATCAATACAACAACTTTCACAACTGATTAACCACAAAAACAACAAAAATAAGTTTTGAATCAGTCATCACAAAAATAGAGTTTTGTTTCCTAAGTTTTAAAAGTCATTCGAACACAACAAACATTGCTAATGCTTGATCTTCTTAGCCTTCAATTTACCAACTTTTTTTCCTTTTCTGCCAATAATTGTCTTGATGTCATTGCTGCTTTGCCTTTCCAAGTGACTTTTCTTGGTGAATAGGGCAAGTTTATAGGCACACTGGCATCAGATTCATCACCCTTGAATACAATCTTCCTGGTACCAGTTGGCAATTGCCTATGCTTTTTCTTTTGAAGCATAGTCTTAGCTTCAGATATCACCTTAGGCCTCAAAACTGGATGTTTGTCTTCATCTTCAGATATTGCATCTCCATCTTCATAGTCATGGTCATCATCCAGAACTATTGATGGTGATGTTGGTGCCGATGGTGTGTTGGTGCTGCTGGTGTTTCACTGTGAGGGGATTGAGTAGAGGTGTTTTGTTGATGTGTGTCTTGGGATGTTGTCATTAGCCTCATTCCAGGTGTAGGAACAAAAATAAATTTAGAAGTTTGACTATTTTAGGGTGCTGTCAAGGGCACATCTTGTACTTCTTGGGAAGATCCTTCATCTTGGAAGAAGTGGCTATGTCTCCCTTTCACCTAGAAGATCAAGCAATTAAGGTATCACATTTAGAGTTATTGTTAAATTATTTGAAGTTAATAAAAAGGGAATGAGTAGCATTACCAAAGGACATTTTCTGATGTTGTGACCTCTCTCACTGCAGTATCCACATGTCATGACAAGTTCTTTTCTTGAAGCTGACCAAGCCCCCTCTCTCTTTCTTTCCTCATCCTTCTCTCTCTTTCTCTTTACCTTTGGTCGATCAACCATTTTGACTATTTCTGGTGGCTCCATTGTATGATGTGGTTCCACCTTTCAAAACTTTTCACCTCTAACTGGTTGTATTTTATGCATATACACATTCATGTGAGCTTCCTTTGAGTACCATCAATGCACTTCACTCAATGGCTCTTCTTTCTTGTCAATTAAAGCTCTAATTGCATGGAGACATGGGATTCCTGCCAAGTCCCATGTGCACTTCTTTAGTTGAAAACTAACAGTATACTTCCCTGGACCTACATGCACTTCATAATCAAAGTCACCATTAAAAATCAACTTCACACTCTTGTGCAATTTCTCTGAAATCACCTAATAACTCCATGGCATATGAACTGAATTCATCACTCCAAGTCCTACATTCATCTTCACGATCTTTTAACATTTTCATTACCTTTAAAACAAGGGAAAACCAATAATCAAACACTGATATAATAATACATAAAATCAGTTAGTTTCATAAAATACTATAATTTACCTTGATTTTAACCTCTTTCAACATCTTGATTATTGGTTTGTGTCTTGCCTCTAGAATTCATTTGTTAAATGATTCTGTAAATTTGTTGTCAACCAATTGGTTCTTGCATGTTGTGTCAAAATAAGCCATGCACTAGTTTTGTGGTGGGTACCAAATTAGATCTTTAGCAGCTTATTCAGAAATAGTTCCTAGGGTCCTCAATTGATCCTTGAATTATTCATCATAAGAGACCCAAACACACCACCACAATAGCTTTTTCATCTCTACACCCATCTAGTTCTTGCTCCAGTTAGCTTCTATGTGCCTAACACACCATCCGTGATGTGATTTGGGAACCACTGTTACAACAACATCAATCAAAACCTACAATAATCAAAATAAATAAAGAAGGTGAGTCTTTTAGTAGTTAAAGTAAACTAACAGTGAAAAATAATGGAAGTTGTTAATGATATTACCTTTTGCATGTCTAAAATGATTGTCATTCCTTCACCATCTCCCAACTTTAAGGAAGATCTCAACAGCCCCATAAACCACTTCCAAGTTCTATTTGTTTCTCTATCCATCACTGCCCAAGCAAGTGGATAAAAGTGTTTGGCAGAATCTTGTGCCATAGCTACCAGTAAAATGCCTTTGCATTTTCCTTTTAGAAATTGCCATCAGACCTATGAGGCCTCAACCCTACTTTTCATCCACTTTTCAAAGCTTGGAAGCATATATACATTCTAAGAATTCTACTCTTTCCCTCTTCTAAAATATCTTTTGATATGCTTATAACCACATATGCACCATGGTTACAGTCCCTCAACTCTTGAGCATAGGCCTTTAACCTATTATAGTTATCAATGTAGCCACCCTCCAACTTCTCTAAGACCATTCTCTTTACCCTCTTCATCTTTGAATAACTAGCATTAACTCTGAATTTATCCTCTATGTCCACCCTCATATCTTTGACCTTATACTTAGAATTATTTTGGACTTTGTTCTTGAAATAATGGGCTAAAGTATTGGGAGTAGCTTTTCTATTCTGAAATGCTAGACCACACTCATGTTTTGTATTCAAAGTCTTGATCTCTATTATCCTTGGATATAAAATACACAAAAAGACATCCAATATCACATTTGTATCTAACTCTACCAGTGTCACTCTTCTTAACTTTAAGGCCCTTCTTATTAGCAGCTGCATAGTACCCCACAACTCGTTTAGCTTCAGCCAAGTCTTTAAAACTCATACCCATCTCCAAGTTTTTATACTTGTTTAGTTGTCATTAACTTCTTTGTTCCTTTCTTTTCTAAATAGTTCTAACTCTTCATTATCATAATCACTAGAGTTAGTTTCATTAGCTTTCTCGTTATCAGTAGTTTCATTAGCTTCCTCCATATCAGATGAATCACAATCAGTTCCAACATCTACTCCTACTGTTAAGTTATAAGGTTTATCATGGTAAGTGATGCTAGGAGCTGGCACATGTAATTCACCATCATCTACAATAAATATTTGAATCTCATTGAATTGTTTTGACAGTAAAGACTGTAATATTCTAATGTCTGCATCACCCTCAATTAAAAAGCACCTGCCAGTAAAGCCTGTTACTAGTAATTGTTTTACCTCATTAAAACCTAACTTCTCAGTGTATTCAGAATAAATGTTTATATAAGACAAAAATCTATATCATAACCTATCAATACATGCTTCCTTTTATTAAGATACACCACTTGAGGTTCCAACACCCACTTACCCCTATGGTTAAAGACCAAATCAACCTTCTCAATCATTCTTCAAAGAAAACAGATGCAAACCATAAAAGAAACAAGAAAAAGGACCATCAGTAATATATAAAGAGAAAAGTTAAAGAGGGAATCTACCAATAAAAGGACAGAGATCACATACGGCCAAAATAAAGTAAACAAAATAAAAAATAACGAATAAACAACTGAAATCAACAAAGAAGTAGACCCCATATGAATAAAAAAAATAGATATCAACAACCATTGAACCCCTAAGTCTAATCCAACACAAAAAGGGAAGGGGCAACATGCATTCAATAATTGAGTAAACAAAGGCAAAAGCTTTGGATAAACGACCGGAATCGACAAACAAGTTGAGCCCATATGAATATAAAAGTCAGGCATCAACAATCATTGAGCCCCTAAGTCCAGACCAATACAAAAAAGGGAAGGCACCACATGCAACTGAAAATTTAGTAAACAAAGATAAAAGCATTGAATAAACAACTGGAATCGACAAAAAACGACAACCCCATACGAATAAATAAACCAGATGTGACCAAATTAAAACCCTAAGTTCATACGACATTAATCTAAGTGAGACCACATGCAACAAAAAATTACTACAATAAAGACATCTACTAATATTGAAGATACAATTGAAATATCACAGAACATCAAAAGCAACACGAGATGGAAGATTCCAAAAACCCTAAGCACGAAAACAACAATAAAGTCTTACTTGAATGGAAACAAGACTTTAACTTTAAAGAACAACTTGAATCCATCAACTTCAGTACAAAATCGTAGCAGGAAATTCCAAGATGTCAAACTCCAAAATAGCCGACCATTTTGCCATTTTTCCTTACAATATATGAAATAGGTGGAAAATGACCTAACATCGGGGGTTTTGGGGGTAAAAGAATATTTACTGGGTCGGTTCGGTCTGGATAAGTAATGAGTGGGGTAAAATACGGATCGGGGTATGTCATATTTAATGGCTAGTCAGAAATAGCCACGTGGAATTAAGAAAATATTTATTTAAATCGTAAGTAAGCCGTTAGAACTAAGGGCACAGCTATACTAGATTTTTAATGGTAGGGTTATTCTTATCAAAATAGGTTAACGGGGGGCATTTATAGACTGAAGTTCATACGTTAGGGGCGGATTTGACCCTTTTCCGTTTAAGAGCCCGTTTGGGCATAAGATTTTTTTCACTTTTTTCGATTTTTTTAAAACTTTTTTTCGAAATCAGTGTTTGGCTTTAAAATTTCCAATTTTCACTTGAAGATGAATTTTGAAATTTTTCGAAAATTTGAAAAACTCCAAAAAGTTATTTTTCAAAATTTTCACTCAGATCACTCACAAAAATTTAAAAACAACCCAAAATTATATTCATGTCCAAACACAACTCTAATTTTCAAATACCATTTTCACTTGAAAAAAAATCATTTTTTTTTTTTTTGAAATTTACAATTTTTATGTCCAAACGCCCACTAAATTATTACATATAGAGCAAAACACCAAGCATAGCAATAAAACAAGAAAACAGACGGAACAAAACAAACAAAAAGAAGAAGAATTACATTTTTAAGGAAAACCAAACTTTATTAGCAATAAATTTCTTGTATCTTCTTAAGAAGAATTGTCTCGAATGAACTTCTTGATAGTGAGCATCAACTTCTTGGAAGGCTTTGAATTAGGATAAATAGTGAAAAAACCATGTTGTTGTCCTTCAAACTCCACATATTCAATCTTCTTTCCCCATTCCTTCAATCTCTTTGCATAGTCTTCAGCTCTGTCTTTAAGAAGATCATATCCTCCAACAATTACAAGAATTGGGTCAAGATCAATCTTTTCCAAGTCTGGGCTGTTGGGCCCAAATGGGTTCACAAGTGGATGGTCAGTTGTTTCCCCTATTGGTACTGATAACCTCCAAAACCTGTAAATGAGGAAAGCAATATTGAATGAAATATACAATGAGTATCCAACATTTAGAGAAATATAATTGTTTTGACGTTCTAAAAAATAATAGCCAACAAAATTATATATATATTTATTATATAATATACAAATTTTATACTTAGCTAGGAAATGCAATTAGTTTCGGTCCCAACCAATTTTGTAGCCCAAACATTTAGATTGAGAAATTTTGGGTGAGCTAGCAGAGGACTGTTGAAAATTTGTGTCATTTACACTTTAGGCCATAGCTTTTGGTGGCAATTACTAGAAAAATTTGGTTATATCTAGAATGACGATGTATTTAAGCTAAGTTTTTTATTTTTATTGTGGAATCCACATAAGCTAGAGTTCTAAGAAAAAGAATCCTTAAACAAAATACTTCTTCATCGAAATCTCAAGAACAAAAGGTAAAATTTCAAAGAAGAATCATAAGAAAAAGCTGATTAGAATCTTCTATGAAACATAATTTGATTTTAAACAGAAACAAAATAAGTTATTTGATTATGGAACTCAATGTAATAATAAGTTTTTTGAATAAAAGTAAGAATTCTTGAGAACCTGTCAATGAGCTCAATGTTTAAAAAAGCTTCTTTAGGTCCCTCAGCTTCAAACTTTGTCCTTGTAGTCCCTCCAAAGAAAGGAAGCAAATATACATAACCTCTAACTCGAACCGGCGCCAGCTCGATTGATCCAACTCTAAGCCGAATTGCCAAATTATGCGCGATGTTGCCACCGGCTGAGTCACCTGAAATAAACACTCGGCTAAAGTCAGCAACATCTGTAAGCCACGTGTCAGGCTCATTAGACATGGCTTGATCTTGGAGCCATTTCACAGCCATGTAACCATCTTCAATGGCAGCTGGGAGCCGGTTCTCAGGAGCCAACCGATAGTCGGGGGAGATAACCACGGCTTGGAGCTCAGAAGCTAGCTTGAAACAATAGTTTTGGCAATTTGGCCACGTCCGTGAGCCGATGCAAAAGCCGCCCCCATGAATGTAGTAGAAGATGGGCAGCTTAGTGGCCGAAGTGGCCAAAGCCGGCTTGTAGAGCCGGAGTTGAAGGTTATGCATGGCGTCAAATACATCATCTTTCCAAAGAACTGAGCCATCATCTTGTATTGGTACTTCAAAACTTGGCTTACTTGATCTTACTATAGTTCCATCACTATACACCCTAAGAACACCTCTACATTCTTCGACTTCATGTGGCTGAACTGCACTAGTACTGTCCTCCATCACTCTCAATATGTGTTCTTGCTAGTGTGTGGAGTGTGCCTGTGTTTGTGTGTGTGTGTGTGTGTGTATTAAGATTAGAGGTGGAGGGGAGAAAACAAAGGAAGAGTTAATAAGGGGTGATTTTTTTGTTTTTTGTTTTATTTTATTTGGTGATGATAAGAAGGACAAAGTATTTTACTATACTACAAAGTTTGTATTTGTTTGTCACATAGTGTTAACACACACGGATTAGGTTTGGCACAGAACAAAATGATGACGGAAGAAATGAAATCTTTTGCCAAAGGAAATAAGTTTATGTGCCGGCAAATGCTATTTGACAAGGCTCAATAATCAACACCAGTTTGGTGGGATGTAACTATCCTTAATCTAGGCATAATTTGTAGTAATTGGAAGCCTGTAGAGTTCTCTTCAATTTATCAAAAATTCTTACCGTAAAATTATGATCTGAGCTTCTCATTTGCCCATATTTAGAACCTTTGCACAATAATCATTACCTTGTATAACCACCTATTTGACAATATTAATAATACTAATAAAAAAAATAGCAACTCGGTGCATAAAATATCCCGCATTCGTGCAGGGTCCCTGGAAGGACTGCAACTTAAGGGTGTAACGTAAACAACCTACCCTAATGCAAACACTAATGACTGTTTTCACTGCTCGAACATGTAATATATAGGTAATATGAAAATAACTTTGCCAATATTAATATTGACAAGAATTCAGAACAGGTGACTAAATTATACCCCTTCCTGTTCTTTACTTTTTTGGACTTGGCATCCATAGTCGCTTATATATGCATTTGGCGATCATTAGATTAAGTGATTACTTGATAAACTACTTCGGATAATTTATTTGATCTTTGTTCAGAAGAGGCGCTAGCTATATACTTAACACATGTAAACGTTATTTTCAGGGACGTGAGTAGAAGTACAAGAGGTTGCTTGCTAAAAATAGCTTGTCTAGCCTAGGAGGTGGAAGAGTTGGCTGGAAAAATAGTTAAAAACTCTTTCCTTACAATCTTCTCTGCTTTGGATAAAATAAGCTGTTATATTATTGCTCTAACATTTTAATGTTTCCATAGTTCTGACGCAACACTTAGCTAACCAGATGTTCAGTTTTTCAAGTATAAATACCACAAAAGCATTAAAAAGGAACCAGAAAAGAAAACAAAGAAGACTTGCTCATTCAGAATGCAGCTGTGCAAATAAAGTACTCTCCGGTGGTGATTTTTCACTATTTCCACATTTCACAGTTCAATTGTTATATTCAAAATTAAGCTACATAGGTATGCAGAATAAACCATTGTAAAGCTGTAGGATGAAAGACGGAAAAGTCATCTGCCATAGGAGCATAATATTGGGATTAAACCCTCACAGAAATAATATTCACGGTACTAAAAGCGAAATAATAATGTAGCACTGAGATACGGTAATTAACAAGAATAAAAGTGTGACAACGACACCAAGATTTTTACGTGAAAAACCCTTTTGAATAAGGGAAAAAACCACGACCCCGAGACGAGCAACTAATATCACTATAGCAAAGAATTTTATATTTTGTAGGTCCGAGTAAAATACTCCAAAGACTACTACAACACTCAAAAGAAATAACCCTCTTTTGATATTCCACCTCAGTACAATATCGCTCACTCTCTATTTTCCTCTACACAGTCTATTTCTCACAATGCCTGAGAAATACTCTCTGCAACTATTGTGTTGCTTCTCTTTCTGTGTGGTGAAATGAAGAAGCCGAAGCTCTCCTTTTATAGGAGAAATAGCCTACCTCTTCAACCAATCAGAATGAAGTATTGGTTGTAAATTTACAATGCAAATTTTTTCTTTCTTCTGCCTAACAATTTGACATTTTCCTTCTGCAGCCTACCATATTTGACAATGCAAAAGAAAAGATGGTTGCCAATCAAAGGAAGAAAGTTATCTTCCTTAATTTATGGGATGGACACCACAAATTTCCCCCTCTAGTCTCATTCACCTGAAGGAGGTAGCATTGTCTTCTAGTTTGAGTGCATGCTGACAAGTTCTTTGCATAGCTCGAACTTGTCTCTTGGTACCACCTTGGTTAACATATCAGCAGGATTTTCACTCGTGTGAATCCTTTTGACCTGTAAAGATTCGTTTTCCACCTGCTCACGAATCCAATGATATCTCACATCTATATGCGTTGTTCTTGCATGGTACATGAAGTTCTTGCTCAAGTCTATTGCACCTTGACTGTCACAATAGACGACATACTCCTTTTGATGCAATTCCAGCTCTTGAAGAAACCGCTTGAGCCATACCATCTCCTTGCCAGCTTCTGTAGCGGCAATGTACTCTGCTTCAGTTGTTGAAAGTGCAACACACTTCTGCAATTTAGACTGCCATGATATAGCTCCCCCTGAAAGTATAAACAAATATCCAGTAGTGGATTTTCTGCTATCAATGTCACCTGCCATATCAACTTTTTTATAGCCCTTCAAGATTGGATGAGATCCTCCAAAGTACAAACAATCTCCCGTGATACCTCTCAGGTACCTGAGTATCCACTTGACTGCTTCCCAATATTCCTTTCCAGGATTTTTAAGGAATCTGCTAACAACACCAACTGCATGAGCAATATCAGGTATGGTGCATACCATTGCATACACCAAGCTTCCGACTGCTGAAGAATAAGGAACTCTAGCCATGTTCCCTTTCTCCTCCACACTTGTAGGCCACATCTTCTTGCTTAACTTTAGATGACTAGCAAGAGGTGTGCTGACTGGCTTAGCATTCTTCATGTTAAAGCATTCCAGTACACGTTCAATGTACTTTTCCTAAGATAACCACAACTTGCTGCTCTCGAACTATTTTCATACCCAGAATTTGTTGTGCTGGGCCCAAGTCCTTCATATCAAATAACTTGGACAAATCTCCCTTCAACTTTGCGATCAACCCCTTATTTTTTCCTACAATTAACATGTCATCCACATACAACAACAATATAATAAAGTTATTTTCAGAAAATCTTTTGAAATATACACATGGATCAGAATATGTCTTTGTGTAAGTTTGACTTTTCATGAATGAGTCAAACTTCTTATACCACTGCCTTGGTACCTGCTTCAACCCATAAAGACTCTAATTCAGTTTGCACACCATGTGTTTTCTTTCAGCTACTTCAAATCCTTCTGGCTGCTCCATATAGATCTCCTCTTCCAAATCTCCGTGAAGAAATGCAATTTTCACGTTCAACTGCTCCACTTCAAGATCTAGGCTAGCTGATAAGCTCAAGATTGTTCGAATAGAAGTCATTTTGACAACATGTGAGAAAATTTCGTCAAAATCAATACCTTTCTTCTGCTCGAAGCCTTTTACCGCCAATCGAGCTTTGTATCTGACCAACTTGCCATTTCCATCTTTCTTGAGTTTAAAGACCCACTTACATTTGAGTGGTCTTTTACTCTTTGGAAGTTCAACCAGCTTGTACGTGCCATTTTTCTGCAAAGATTCCATCTCCCCTTGAATGGCTTTCATCCACTGGTTCTTTTCTGGATGAGACATCACCTCCTTAAGATTTTCTAACTCCCCCTCATCATTGATGAGGACATACTCCGTGGAAGGGTACCTGCATGACTCTGCCCTTGGCCGTTCTGATCTCCTCTAAGGTTAAGGTTGTTCGTCTCCCTGAGTGGGGTGATCCACTTGCTCGACATCATCATCAAGTTGCTCCCCCTGCTCAATAGCCTCACCAAGTTGCTCCCCCTGCTCGACAACCTCGTCGGTCATACTTTCTGCACTTGTGGGATTTCTAGAAGTAGAAGGAATAGTAACAAGGTTAGGAATAATACCATTCTTGGCCTTCTCTAGCATATCATCATCAGTTCCAACTTCACTTTCTCGGAAGACTACATCTCTGCTTCTGATGACCTTCTTCTTTACGGGATCCCACAATCTGTATTCGAATTCTTCATCTCCATATTCGATGAATATGAAAGGAACAGATTTATCATCCAGCTTTGTTCTATGCTCCTTTGGTACATGTGCAAAAGCTTTGCAACCGAACACCTTCACATGCGAGTAGGACACCTCCTTGTTGGTCCAAACTCTCTCTGGGATGTCAAACGCCAACGGAACTGATGGACTCTTATTGATCAGGTAACAAGCTGTCTGAACTGCTTCACCCCAGAATGACTTAGGCAGTTTAGCCATTCTGAGCATGCTTCTCACCTTCTCCACAATGGTGCGGTTCATCCTTTCGGCTACGCCATTGTGTTGTGGGGTTCCAGGAACTGTCTTTTCATGTCTGATCCCATGGTTCGAATAATACTCTTCAAATTACTCAAGCTTTCATGATATCATGTATTTTGGCATCAGCATCTAGTACCTTGTGTAATCCTTGTTGGATGAGCAGATCTCTCATCCTTCTTTGCCATGTTGAGAAACCGCTATATCCGTTAAATTTTGCTACCTCGTACTTTACTCCGGACATTTTGTTTTTCACCGAGTATAGTACTACCGACAATGAATAGTATTTCTGTGAACGAGCAGAACCTGTGCTCTGATACCAGTTATTGGGATTAAACCCCCACAGAAATAATATTCACGGTACTAAAAGCGGAATAATAATATAGCACCGAGATACGATAATTAACAAGAATAAAAGAGTGACAACGACACCAAGATTTTTATATGGAAAACCCTTTTAAATAAGGGAAAAAACCACGCCCCCGAGATGAGTAACTAATATCATTATAGCAAGAAATTTTACACTTTGTAGGTCCGAGTAAAATACTCCAAAGGCCACTACAACACTCAAAAGAAATAACCTTCTTTTGATATTCCCACCTCACTATAATATCGCTCACTATTTATTTTTCTCTACACAGTCTATTTCTCACAATGCCTGAGAAATACTCTCTGCAACTATTGTGTTGCTTCTCTTTATTTGTGGTGAAATGAAGAAGCCGAAGCTCTCCTTTTATAGGAGAAATAACCTATCTCTTCAACCAATCAGAATGAAGTATAGGTTGAAAATTTGCAATGCAATTTTTTTCTTTTTTCCGCCTAACAATTTGATATTTTCCTTCTGCAGCCTACCATATTTGACAATGCAAAAGAAAAGATGGTTGCCAATCAAAGAAAGAAAGTTATTTTCCGTAATTTATAGGATGGACCCCACACATAATATCATCAAGATATGCATTTTCTCACTTCACGATGAGAAGATAAGGACTTTGGGCTTACCCGTGCACAAAGCAATCCCAGGCTATAGCAGGGGTAGGGGTAGAGCGATACATTTTGAAAAGATATGAAAACAAAATATTTAAACAAATAGAATAGCCTCATATTTGTGCTTTAAATTTTCGTGTATTAGTGAATTAGCCTCAGAATACACGTCAATAATTACAAGACAAAAGAGAGAGAGTAGTATAGGTCATAGCCGTTTTGAGTATCCAGAACCAGCACATTTCTTGCAGAATACTAATCCTACAAAAAGAAGCACCCAACAAAAAGAGATTCTTTTAGCTTCAGAGTGCAGTAATATAGTATATTACACGAACCGATGGATGCAATCATATTTGAGACCAGATATTAGTGAAAGATCACTTGAATTATGTATCATTCATATATCCAGACGCAATTCATAGTTATCTAATCCGTTAAATGTTATAAGCATTCCATATTGATTACTTGAAGTTGGTTGGGAAATAAAATTGAAGCTGAAAGGTACCTGCACCCTTGCAAACTTTGCAGTCAACTAATCCTTTTTCAGTTGTCATCTTACCATCATTGCAGAAGACACACTTTGTACCACCTATGCATCAAAACAAATTAATTACTTGAATCTTCTTTTGCTTTAGAAACAAAATGAATACCATCAGCAATACAATGAATTTTGTAAAAATAATAATATACACATGATTTTGTACTTTTACGCTTGAGTTAGACCTTTTTGTTAAGTCAGATGGCTTCATTCATCTGTGATGGTAAAAGCTACATCAGAAAAGACTACACAAACAAAACGAGCACTTTCCTCTTGCTACCCTCTTTCTCCACAGGGGGGGAGAAAGAGAGAGGAAAAAGAGTTAAAAAACAAAACTATCAGAGTCCAATCCTGAAGTTAACTACAAACTATCACTAACATTTACTATACTCTTCCACAATAACTCACAAAGTTGTTAGCATCTTCCTCCTTAATCCTTGTTTGATACCTTCAATAAGTTATAACACTATGGACGAAATGAAGACTGCAGGAAGAACTAGGCTTCTGTTTTCCTTTTTTCTCCAGTCTTAAGCTATTAATATTTGTTTAAGTGCAGGGTCGACGGACTCATCCTAAAACAGAATTAGTAATACACAAGTACATCATAGATTAAGCGCACACCACCTTCGGGTCTGTCATTGCCAGGTATGCATGGCTAGCGGAAACATACCCTTCTACTTGATTATGAAGGCAAAGAAATTACCAATCCACTTGTTTAGAGTTATGTATATTCCGGATAATAGTTGCCTGCATAAATCAATAAAGCAGGACCTAACATAGCATATATGAACATCTTACTAGTTATTGATGCAGCGTTTAAATGGCTAATGGAGGAAGCTGTAGCTTATCGAACAATCCTGTAAAGCTTTACCATATCAATCAGTTGTCATTTATCTAGTTTTGATCGTGATCACAACTCTTACATGATTTTACAATACCATACAAGTACCTTTTTTTTTTTTTTAACAACCATACAAGTACTTAAACTGCTCTATTTAGTACTAATAGTTATGAATGGAGGTATCTTACAACTTTGGATCCCTCAGAGATTCTTAATTATACAGTTGGACTTGGCTTGTACAGATAGTTTCCTCTTAGGTCAATTACATCATTCTACATGAGGAATTATATATATGACATCGTTTATAGTTACACTAAACACCAGAATTACTAAAAGAAATTGGTATAATAATAGCTTCTTTGAGTTTCATTACTTCATCAAATCCTAATATATTCCCATTACTGTTGGTGTTTGAAGTGTCAAGGTTGAAGTTAGAATTCTGTGTTAGAGATTTAAAGAAATCATTATTCTAGGTAAGTGGTAACCATGTCATTAGCAGAATTAGTACAACTAAAGTAGTGTAAAAAAGGGGTAAAATTGCAAACAGCATAAGTTAAAAGACTCACCATTTCCAGCACACCTATCACAAGGAACTGGATCTCCCTGCAAATATTAATAAAAACCCAACTTTAAAAAAACCTAAGATAGCTTGATAAAGTGATCAAAAGGGGAACTTTATGACCTCCACAAGAAAAGAGATGCAATAAAAAGGAAACTTTATGAAACCCACTGAAAGAAAACAGAGAAAAAATTGTATACCTTGAGGCCAAGAAAGAGGGAGAGAGCAATGGCACCTAAAACACTGAAAGTGGCAAGAAATGTTTGGGTATCCAAAGGGGGTGAGTCAACACCAACGAAGAGCAAAATGGGGTGATGATGCTTTATTGCGAATGGGAATAGTTGCTGAATTTGGGAATAACATGATGACAATACTGGGATTTCAAGATTTGTTGAGAACTGAGTTGGGAAAGAAAATGAAGAAGGACAGCAAGTGAAAGGGCATAGAGATGAACAAATTGTTGAAGAAAAACAAGAAGAGGAGAGAGAATGGAGGGGATAGAGTGAGGAGTGAGAGAGTGTTGTTGCCATTGCAAGTAAATTTGTGGAGCTGAGAGTTCGGTTTATGCTCACTTGTCTCACTCTTGTTTTTCTTTTCTTTTTAAAATTTTCTTTTATCTTCCGTTTTTTCATTTTTATGGAGTATATTATTTGTTTCCTCGAGTATTAACAATTTTTCGGGAGAAAATACATCACTATTGACTTTCTAAAAGGAATTAAGTAATTGAGGATTTTGCATTAACTTATCCAATTTTAAACTCCACCTGGAATTTTAAAAAAAGAGAAGGGGAAGTAGGTAATAATAATGGCAATAGCAAGTTATCTCCTCCTATATAGTACTCTTTGTTATTCTATTTTTTTATCTCTTTTGGTGCTTATCAAATTCCTTTTGTTAGAATTGTTATTCACATAGTTTTCTCTATATCCTAGAATTCTCTCTAATTTGTTATATTTTTTTTTACAGCTTTTATGTACTGCACTTGGCTATATAAATTCAACCCCGTAATCAATACAACACAAGTTTTTCTTCTACCTTTATTACTCTTTATGGTATCAAGAGCTCCACTGTTTCAACGAGCTTGATCCTAATTTTTTTTCTACCCACCCACCGCACGCACAAATGGCTCCAAGTTCTCCAACTGTTGTCAATGCTGATAACACCTCCGGTTCAAAGACTGTTGTCTAGTTCAATCCCGTTGCTCAACTTCCCATCAAACTTACTGGTAGCCATAACTTCTCGCCATAGAAGGCTCAGGTCTCCATGCTTATGTGTGGGCGCAATCTCTTTGGTCACCTCGATGGATCGAAACCAAATCCCTCTCAGACTATCTTTGCAAATAACCAAAAAGTATCCAATCCTCATTTTGTTGCTTGGTTTCAACAAGATCAGCTCATACAAAATGATGTCTTGACATCTGTAGGCTCAACAATTTCCAGTACAGTTGCTTCTGCCGCCAATGCCAAAATGGGTTGGGATGTCTTGCATACTGCTTATGCAAACAAGTCCTAAACTCGTATCTTTAGTTTTCGAGACCGTCTAGCCCACCTTTCCAAGGACTCTCGCCCTACTGCAGATTATCTCCATCAAGTTCGCTTACTATGTGGTGAACTTACCACTGCTGGATCCCCCGTTTTCAATGAAGAATTGATTGTCAAGATTCTTACTGGACTTGGATTTGAATTTTGAGACCTTTCCGCTATTATCCGAGCTCGAGATTCAACAATCTCATACGAAGAACTATATGAAAAGTTCCTTGATTATGCGCTTTTTCTTCAGCACGAGGAAGTCAAAAAGACTCTTCTGTTCCAATAACTATTAATATTGCTCAAAGGACTACTTCAACTCCTACACGCCAGGGATCCAATAATAATCGGCGATCAAATGCGCCCAACAACAACAATCTCAATCAACAAAGTAACAATCAATCATGGCGCAATAATCAGCAGTAAATGCGCAACAATCAGCAAACAACAACCTTCCAACAATAATATTTACTGCCAACTTTGAGATGGTAGAGGATATACTGCTCGTGTATGTCAGACACGGTCTCACAATCATTTTCAAGTTTGCGCTAATTACGTTGCGCGCTTCTAAAATTAGCCAGCTCCGTAGATCATTGATAGTGGTGCAACACATCATGTTGCCTCGTACACTCAGAGTTTAGCCACTATGCAAGACTACCATGGTTCGAATGTTATAGTCATGGGCAATGGTAATACTATTCCAATCTCCCATACTGGTAATGTGAATATTAATGCATCAAATCACAAATTCCATCTCCAAAATTTCTCTGTTCTCTGGCCATTAAAAATAATGTACTCTCTGTCTCTAAGTTTTGACAAGACAATAACACCTCTATTGAATTCTTTTTCCGTTTTTATTTTGTGAAGGATCTAACTACGGGGGCGCCATTGGTTCGCGGATGGACTAGAAATGGACTGTATGAGTGGCCACTGGGCGATGTTGAAGGTCCTCCCAAATGCAATGTTGTTGTCCCGTACCACCTGTGGCATCGGCGATTAGGCCACCCTAATCATCGCGCTATGAATAAATTTCTACTTAATTTTTGCATTCCAGTTTCTGATTCAAAAAACTAGTATTATCTATAATTCATGTTATTTCAATAAAAGTCACAAGATGCCTTTCTCAAAAACTTCTTTACACAGTGACAACAAATTACATTTAATTTATAGTGATTTGTGAGGATCGTCTTCGGTATTATCAATCGACAAAAAATAATACTATGTTTTAATTGCTGATCAATTTTTAAAATATATGTGGTTGTTCACGCTCAAAGCTAAAACAGAAGTTTTGAAAATCTTACAAACCTTGCATCCCCTGCTTGAAAGACATTTTAACACAAAAATATTATCCTTGTACATTGATGGTGGTGGTGAGTTTCAAAATTTAGATTCCTATCTAAAAACACATGGAATTGAACACTTAGTGTCGCCCCCATACACACCCCGGGTCGACTTAGTTGAACGTTGTCATCGGCATGTCATTGAAATGGTGCGCACCTTGTTACACCAAGCATACTTACCTTTAATTTTTTGGAGTTATGCATGTCATCAAGCAGTTTATTTGATCAATAAGATGCCTACACCAAATTTATAAAATAAATCACCTTTTGAAATCCTATTTCAGACAGTGCCTAATCATAATTCCATTAAAGTCTTTGGGTGCTTATGATACCCATGACTCAAACCTTAATCCAATAAAAAACTAGAACCTCGATCTACAACATGTGTTTATTTAGGATTTTCTAATAAATTTTATAGCCATCAGTGTTTTGATCAGTTAATTCCAAAATATATATATATCCAGGGATGTAATTTTTCTAGAAGATAATTTTCCCTTTCAAAATATTTTTCCAGCTTTTAGAAGTAAGGATAATGTATCTTGAGATAATATTTCTATTGAACAACCAGCCAAAGAGGATAAAAATTCAACTTAAAAATTCCTCTTATCAACTCCCCCCCTCGGTGACTACATTGTCCACGGTCCCTCAACGCCCACAAGCTATCTCATCCGCTTCTGATGGTGTCTCTTAACAATCAGGTAATATTAATTCTCCTCATATTTTGACTCTTATTTCTCCACCTTCCAAACAAGCTCCACAACAGCCGAGAACTACTTCTCCTCCTTCAATCTTGGCACCTGGAGTTTTGCCATCACGGTCATTTATCACATATCAAAGAGAGAAAGATCGTCCACTCCTAGCCAAAATCCAGGTTTGTCCCACTCTACATCTACTTCGGCACTACATCGGACGCAACTGGCTTCTTCCCTACCTCGACCAGAATCCTCTCCCCCTATTCAGTCGGACCCACCAACCCAACCCCAACCAAACAAGCCAGCCACCAAAGTGCACCGAATGATCACCTGATCACAGAATAATAGTCTTAAACCTAGTCAATTTCTCACAACCACTACTTCATCTCAAAATATTCCCATAACCCATAAGAAAGCCAAGCTAATTCTCCACTAGAATTCAGCAATGCAAGCCAAATTTGATGCTCTTGTTCGCAACCAGACTTGGGATTTGGTTCCATGAGACTCTTCCAAAAATATGGTAGATTGTAAATGGCTATTCCGTATTAAATATAAACCAGACGGTTCTGTTGACAGGTATAAGGCTCGTTTGGTTGCCAAGGGATTTACTCAGCGTCCCGGACTTGATTACTATTCCACCTTCAGTACAGTCAAGCATGCTATTGTCCGCCTTGTCCTAGTTATAGCCGCTCAACTTGATTGGCATGTTCATCAGCTGGATGATAACAATGCCTTCTTGCAGGGTAGTCTTGATGAAGAAGTCTATATGCGTCAGCCACCGGGATTTGAAAGTTCTGAGAATCCTACCCATGTATGTCGTCTTCAGAAGGCAATTACAGCCTCAAGTAGGCTCCTCGTGCTTGTTATACTATACTCAAAAAAATTTCCTGCTTACTCTGGGTTTTTTTAAATTCGATCTGATTCCTCGCTCTTCATTTTGCATAAATATGGATTCAATGTATATATTTTGGTCTATGTTGATGATATTTTAGAGACTGGTAACCACTAACGAGGTGTTCATTTTGGTCTAAATATGGATTCAATGTATACACATTTCACTGAAGGATTTAGGACCTCTTCATTACTTTCTTGGTGTTTAGGTAATTCGTTCCTCTACTGGTCTCTTGCTCTCTCAACAGAAGTACACTATGGATCTACTGCATGAGGTTGCTATGGATAATTGCAAAGGTGTTTCTATAGGCATGACATTTACTGTTGTTTTTGACCCCTCACCCGATGATCATCTAATTGATGGTTCCTTTTACCGACGCATTATTAGTAAGCTTCATTAGCTTTCTTTCACTCGTCCCGATATAGCTTATGCTGTCAGTAAGTTGTCACAAGCTATGCATCAACCACTTATGTCGCATTGGGTTACACTTAAGCGGCTTCTCTGCATCTCCGTTCCACTACTTCCTATGATGTACACATTGCCAAGGAGAGTGACCGTAGACTGCTTGCTTACTATGATTCATACTGGGCGGGAGATCCTCATAATCGAACCTCCACCACTAGTTATGTTATCTATCTTGGTTGTTCTTTTATTTCATGGTCTTCGAAGAAACAACGTTCAGTTTATCATTTTTCTATGGAGGCTGAATATCAGGCAGTTGCAGCTGCTGTTTCCGAGACTAATTGGCTCACCCATCTTCTTCAAAAGCTTCAATTTCCTTTGACTGTTGTTCCGAGAGTTCTCTGTGACAATATCAGCACCACTTATATTTGTGCCAACCCTGTTCTCCATAGCCGCATGAAGCATGTGGCTATCGACTTCCACTTTTTCCGTGAGCAGTTTGAGCACAAACAGCTCGAAGTTACCCATTTACATGATGCAAATCAAGTTGTTGATCTTCTTACAAAGCCTCTTGCACAAGCAGTTTTCAATAAACATTTTTCCAAGTTGGGCGTGGTAGACCTTGATGCCAACCTTATCAGATTCCTTTTGTTAGGATTGTCATTCATATAGGTTTCTCTGTATCCTAGATACTCTCTAATTGTTACATTTTTTACAACTTTT